CCGCGTTATATATACGTTTTAGACAACTGAAAGTATGAATCGGTACTCTATGAAATAGATGATTTGCAAGAATCTTTCTACACCTTCAATACTTTACTGAGACTTCTTTAAACTACGTCTCGTCGCAAGTCGTTGTCCGTGTTATATATACGTTTTAGACAACTGAAAGTATGAATCGGAACTCTATGAAATAGATGATTTGCAAGAATTTTTCTACACCTTCAATACTTTACTGAGACTTCTTTAAACTACGTCTCGTCGCAAGTCGTTGTCCGTGTTATATATACGTTTTAGACAACTGAAAGTCTGTATTGGTACTCCTGCATATCGTACAAATCTTTGTTGGTTTGAATTCGTGCATAATCTCAGGAGGTTTCCTGTCTCTCGTATTTATATTTTGGTATTTCTACAGATATGATGATAATACTACAATTGCGCTTACAACATATTCTGATAACTAAATTTAAGAAATTTAACTTTTTACCTTGGATGTATCTACACTTCTTACCCTGTAAAATTATCAGACAAAGCAGGAATCTCGAGTTGTGTGTGGCTTTACCAGCAGTATAAATTGTTTTTCTCTAGAAATGTAATATATGTTCCTATTTTTTGTCCAGTGTTTAGTGTAGATTATTATTCGGTACCCAGTCATAGTGTTATTTTTATAAACAGTTAGCGTTCATTAATGTAATAACAAAAACATAATGATTTTGTGTAAACGGACATGGCTTATTATTCACACGACAAAATCAGAGTTTGGCGATATAATGTTAACGGATATTAATCATCACTAGATGATTTAATGGATAATAGCTGTTTATGTTACCTTAACGGATTTTCAATGTTCCTCACATATCAGAGTCATTGGTTGTTGATATATGAGAATTAAAGTTGAAAAAAGTCTACATAAAATTTATCATTTATCTACACTGTTTATTCCCAATTCCTTTGAAAGTCAATACATGTTGACATTTTATTGATCAGTCACCTACATTGCCAAACAGAATCTAAAGATAAAATGCATACTTAGTTAGGATTGGAGCTGATAAACAGAGGAAACGCAAATTATACCAATGCTTTAAGTCAAATTCAAAGAAATACATTCTTTACTTCTTGTTATAACATGTTAAAGTCTGAAAAGAACCATTTACGCATCTGTACATAACAAACATAAAAACTCAGAAATTATGACCTTGAGATGCAATGTTCGAGAAGCCTTTAGCATTAAACATAGATGCATGTGTATAAAAATATTATTTATGAGCAACATCAGATCACGAACGAAGGACATAATCCAGATTTTTCATTAGAAACCATATTTACCTCGTGAGTCAATCACTGTCTTCCTAATATTTTTAATATGGTGTTTCCTTATTAATATCAGTGAGATTTTATTTTTGCACATTAGAAACCACATTTCCTTCGTGAGTCAATCACTGTCTTCCTAATATTTTTAATATGGGTTTCCTTATTAATATCAGTGAGATTTTATTTTTGCACATCTAATTGATTTTCATATGAAAAATAGGAAATACTACACCTGCATCGCTTTAACTAGTTTTTACATAAATGTTTTAAAGTAAAAAATATATAAGATATCCCGACATTATACAAAATCTGTATAATTCGTGTGATTTCACCGATTATTTTTTATTATAGCTTTAGCAACTTTTTGTCTGTCACTATGACAAAAAACTTGTAATATCAGTAAGAAGGTGTTGTTGAACTTTACAGAAAACGTACTATTACCCATTTTGCGTTAACGCACAAGTATTGAATTATTTTTAGCAAAATTGAATGAATTTTTTTCTTTTTAGGTTGATATCATGTATTACGACGACTCACTGCGTGATGACTACAAACTGATGGACATCGCTTATATTTACACTTGGAAGCGTGTAAGTAGATTTTCGTAGTTTTCAGTATACAAGTTCTACTGTCACCACAACATAATTAGAAAACAGTAGACCATGATGATCTTTTAATTCCATTTATTATTTGTGGAGTGACTGGGCCCATAATGCTATAGCGGGTGGCAAGTCGGCAGATCCAGGGTTTGAGCCGCGATATTCCGCACTTTCCGTTGTGATGATTCTGTAACTGACGGAGACAGTTTTGTTACTCGTGGGTGCTGTTGACTGGTTGCCTTCTCTCTCTGGTTAGCAGTCCTAAATTAGAGATTGTTATGCTGGAACATTAAGGGTGAGGGGTCTCTTGCAATGGCTGTTTAGACCACGAATTACAGAAGGTCTCGTTCAGGATGAAAATACCGAATACCGAGAAGACTAATTTCTCAGAATGATTCTACATTATTATAAAGCTGTTACTTCGGGGGAAACATAATTCTGAAAAACACCATTCCCAAATTTCTAGGGCGTTTACTATGTTAATAATGAATAACGCATACAATCTTAATACCAAAATTGTTCTGTCCGTAGCTTTTTAACTATGATAGGTTGAGTTGTATGATGTTTACATCTTCTTAAATAGGTTAATTACTGTTATGTATATTCGTGTTAACTTGTATTTCGTATGGAAAGTTATATATATATATATATATATATTGTGTTATTCTAACCAGAAGAATTACCGAGTATAACTTGATTGATTGTTTTTAATTATGCACAAGGGCTATCTGTGCTCTGCCCACCACGGGTATCGAAACCCGGATTCTAGCGTTGTAAGTCCGCAGACATACCGCTGTGCCACTGGGGGGGGCAGTATAATTTGTACAAGGAATGTCATTAAAGCTGTATAGAAAATATTTCTTGCGAATGTCAGGATTAAAATTGTAAATATATTTTAACACTGCGAAGTTGTTTAACTGGAATGATCGTATCCGTTGCAATCTCAGGAGCTTCGTATTCAGGTGGAAGTAAACTTGCAAATATCCGTATCAGTCTTCTATTTATTTATTATAATTAATGATTATAACTTTCAAGTTGGAACAACTCCCGAGCATGGCTGATAATTGTCTTTGATATTATTGTAAATGTATGTAATTCATGTCTTGCTGTCTGTATGCATTTTGTTAATTCAACACCAAAATCAAAAGTGCCAATCAAGTCACATTTAACTGAATACGTAAGCTCGTTTCAAAACCGTTCAGACTGTGCAATTTGAAGTTTTTCAAGCAACTATGTTTGGGAGGGAAAACATACAAATCTTCAAACACATCTTGAAAGTTTGCATGTACCCTGGTGATTCTATAGAATATAAACTAGGAGCCAAATGTTCATCTTAGTCGTGAGGATGGGGTGAAAACGTTTGGAGAGCTCTTAAGTTTGTGCTTAAGAAACTGAATTAAAACGTGAAGCGCAGTTCAAAACAGTGAAATAAATTCAAATTTTGGAAATATTTAAATTGGAGCCCATCCAAGGGCCAAAAAATGAGGGATCAAGGAAATGCTGAGGCTCTTTGGATTGCTGCTTGAATGTAAATAAAAATTTTCTTGCACGTGGAAATGGTCGTTCAAGACAAGAATCTATACATTTATACTTTTATCGGCATTGAAACCAACTTTGAAACTAAAGCCGTTAGAGAGATAAAAGAAGCTTATTGGATTGCTAATCTAAATACTCTTTAAACTTGTGGAATAAATCTACATTCTGGAATCAGTGATCTCCGATCATTGGTTTGTTCCCTGTCACAAAAATAATTTTATATATATTTTTTGTTTTCCATGTAATGTGAACTCTCAGATGTTTACCCCTGATCTTTCTAATACCTACTATTTATTTTTGATAATTTTCTATGCCTATCTTTAGAAATTGATCTGCTTAACATTTCTTTTTCAGTCAATTTTCATATGTCACCTTTATTTTATTTTAACAACAATTAGGTATAGTTGTTCTTGACCACTTGTAATGCTAAACATCTCTAACACATTTTTGTATCACGCCCTCGTTGCCTGTCGTGTTGCATCGGAAATGAAGACGCACTTACAACAGTACGTTGAAGAATGTACCTGGAAGCCCAGGTGACCTTCATGACGTCACTCAACTCCCTTTATATTTCACTCATTCAGTTCACTCCTGAAGAAGAAAAGTCCACCTTTTGAAAGCGCTCGGGTTATAGGGTTTTTATCGTTTTATCTATACTTCTAGGTTATGGAAAATTTTAATCCCACCTTCCCATATGGTGATAAAATAGGTTTGGTGGGGGGTAGGGGGGGCTCTCAGGTTTGGCTTCTTGAATTTACTTAAAATGACAAGAACATATATAGTGGTCATTTAAAGCAGGATGTACAAAATTTGTTGCAAAGTTGTTCTTTCTCGTAAATTTACTCGCTGAGGTGTAATTCGTAACGAAGTATACCATTTCATATTTATATTATCAGTGATAATTCTGAATTCTAATATCGTACTAAAACAAGTTCCAAGATTAAAATATATATATATTATGATTTAATTACACACGTGATCCTTACAACTGAAGATAATGTGGTATGTGAAGAATAAGTGTAACGATTGCTCACGAATGGTTAATGAATAATATTTCGGATACCTGGAAATGTTATAATAACAATATTAATACATATATATATGAATATATATATATAATTAGCTCAGCTGCGAATTTGCTTAGACATAAGTTTTGATTAAAGATTTACGATGAAAAAGGTATATTTATAGTATAACTTAGCGCATAACTAAGTTAAACATCTAGTTATAGTTAGCTTGCGATACGTGGAATTATGTGGAGTAAAATAATATTTTATATAATCCACAGAAAAACACAAAGGCTCTAATGTCTGTAAAAACTACATCGTGTGTAAAACGGATTAGGAAATCATGCCACATCCATCTTCAAGTTGTATATGTTTGGGACGTAAACAATATATATATATAATTCTAAAGGAGGATGTTGTGTTAAAAAAATATTACATCACATACCTTGCTTTATTTATACCTATTCTTCGTTTCTTTTACTAGAACGGACCTATGAGGCTCTTCTACAGAATTCTGGATAAACCTCGTAAAAGGCTTAAGACATGTCATTCTACCAGTAGTGAAACACCATTAGCCATCAGTGATGACATAACTAAACCAGTGACTCCAGGGGTGCTAAACGGGATTTGTTGTGGGAAGGAAACAAATGGAGTAGAGTCGTCATCTGCAGAAGAAAAAGAGGATTCTCCCATGGATATTCAGTCGGAGTCAGAAAGAAAAGAAGTCAACATAGAGAGTGGAAACAACATCAGAAAAAATCCAAATGACGTTTCCTGTAACGAAGTGTTTACAGAAGAGAATGTAAGTCATCAGCCAGTCATATCCAACTCAATCAGTAGTACCAGCCAGTTACAAGATAAACAGAACACACAGTTACTAAATGTTGAAGAACAGAAAAAAGATTGCAAGTCTTCTTCATACAGCGTGCCATCGATATTGTATAGTAAGAAAATGAGATTCGAACAGGAAGTTTCCCTAAAGTACAAAACAGCTACAACTGAAACATTCCATGGTCTAGCGGGACCGTTGCCGAAAGAGACACAGCATGTAGTCGAGAAGATCAAACTAAACCCAGTTGAGACATCACAAAAGTCTAATAAACAAACGGGGTTAACTGAGGCAAAGAAACTCGCCAATCAGATGGAAACTGAGAAACTCACTGACTTTGTTGAAACTGTGAAAGCATTGAGTTCAATTGAAAAAGAGCAGTTTACTACTTCGATGTGCGTCAAAACTCCTGATAATCCTGTCGAATGTAAAAAGCCGAATAGCCCTATTAGGTTTAAAGAATTACACATTCCCAATGAGAACAAAAAATCTGCACATTTCATCAACATCAGGAAGGACACTACTCTTGTCGATACAAAAAAACACAACAACATCCAAGCTGAGACTAAGGAACTTAACAGTTCACACGAAATTCAAACGTTTGCAAATACCGCTGAGACCAAGAAACTTTTCAGCTCAACTGAAAATGACAAACTCACAACTTCAGAAGACATTTTGAAACGCTTTAGCCAAACTGAAGCAAAGAAAGATATCAGTGCAAAGGAAATGAGGAAACTCACCTCACCAGTTGATGGCAAGAAAACCACAAACCTATTTGAATCCATTAAACTCGTTAATAAATCACCTACAGTCAAAACTACTGTGAATAATAGTCATATAACTTCAACACTATTAACTTTGTCTTCCTCCATAGTAACAACCTCTGAAACCGCCAGAAGCCGAGATTCCAAATCAGAAGAAATGTTAGCAGTATCTACTGATCACCTAGACAGACCTATATCAACGTCAGTGCAAAAGTCTCCAAAGACTATATTTGGGGAAGAATCGAAATTTTCTTTGTATCGTGAACAAAATGAGAAGAAATCTATTAAAGAAAGCGATAAGTTTAATAGAGATAGGGAAAAGAAATCCGGATGTAAAGAAAGTGATAAGTTTAATAGAGATAGGGAAAAGAAATCTATTAAAGAAAGTGAGGAAAAATCTCGTAAAGATAGCGAAAAGAAATCAAGTAAAGAAAGTGAGAAAAAGTCTAGTAAAGAAAGTGACAAGAAATACAATAAAGAAAGTGAAAGGAAGTCTAGTAAAGAAAGTGAAAGGAAGTCTAGTAAAGAAAGTGAGAAAAAAAGTAGAAAAGATGGCGAACTTGAGGTATCAAAATCTCCTGAATTGTTTGTTGTCAAACCTGGCGAGGTTCCACCCCTGAAAATCTCTCGCAAATTGTCCATCAAAATTGCTGATCCTGATAAAATTGAGGCGAAAGAAGACTCTGAAGTGGACAGTGGAATAGGCAGTGATATCAGTAGCCGTCCTGAAACGCAGTTAAGTGTTGAAGATGACTTGTGGTCGCCTAGTAATTCCGTACCAGAAACGGACAAATTGACCACCCCATCTAAACCTGCCCTTACTCCGCCTCCAACACCATCACCATCTACAAGCAATCCGTGCCCATCGCCTAGTGCTGGTTATCTTTCTTGCCAAACTCCACTACACGTTCCGTCCACTTCACCAAAGATGTGCCTCTCGCCGCGGGAGGAGCCTGAGCCGCAGCGAGACGACAACGAGGCGCTGGACCTGACTTTATCCCATCGCCACCAAATGCGCCACTACGATCGGCCGCCTCAGCCTCGGCCGCGACACGTAGCTAACCCACCGGTCCTGGACAAACATAGGCAACTAGTATGTTTGACAGCGCCTACCAAGCCGCCGCTCAAGCCATTACCGCCACCGCCACCCCCACTCTCACACACTCATATGTATAGCAGAAAGGCAGACTCCGGGCGAAATCACCGCTTCAAGGGTGGAACTTTAACAGTGATCAATCCAGATCCAAATAGTTATCGGCCTAAGATCGTTATCAAGAATCTAGACCCACGACCGGATCACGCCCACCATCATCACAATCACCGAATGTAGAGCTAGTGTATATATACTTTGATGTAATTAGTCTGTCCAGCTAGATTAGACGTTGTATTCTGTGCGAACTCTATAATACTCTGTCAGTAACTCTGAACAGTTCCCTGGAAGTCAGACATTGAGAGGACAAAATAATGCGTTTCTGTGTTTGTAACTTCACGAAAAAGTTGATGAGAGAACTATTTACAGAATATAAAACAGTTAAAGAGTGACTTTCTTTTTTTTCTTACAGCTTAGAAATCGAAATCCAGGACGTTAAGCCTGATAATATAAAACATGTTTGACTTCTAGTAGCGTACTTATTCGTGTCACACGTGTGGGATTTCCATGGGAAATATTTACCTTGGCTAACGTAGTTGTTGCAATCACCATTGATGATGTTTTATCTACAATACAGATATAACTGACACGATAACTGTTGTTTTGAATATGCTGGAGAGCTTCCTGATACATATACAATAATTCGTATATGTGTGTGACTTGTTCGATGTTCCCTAAATGAAAATGACAAGAGAAGTTGTGTGAATTCAGTGTGTGTCTTCCAAAACCGTTTTTTGGTGTACTATCAAAGTTGTTTTTTTTTTCAATCAAAATTAATTTGCTATTTCTGTACATACACACGTGTATATGTATATCCGTGTAAAAAGTGCAATGTTCTGAAGAATCTCTTGACATTTTTGGAGAAAGGATTGACACTTCGGTCATGAATAAATGTTTCAGAAACGCATGCTTATAAAACAGCTGTGCTAGTGAAAAAACAAAACAAAAAAACATCGTAATGTCATATGACTTGGATCTGTGTTTATTAAAAGTGCATTTATAAACTAGTTTATGACTTGTTTTTGTTCGTAAAGTAAGGGGGAAAAAAGCAACACTGGACTTTCCAATTAATGTGAACAAGGAATTTACACGAGTGTTGTGATAAAAGATTGTTTTCGTTTACGGAATGAGATATTGGTTTTGGTGTTTATTTCAGTGAATAATTCGCCCTGATGAAGCTGGCAAAACAAAAAAGAAATTCTAGACAGTAAGTTAAAAAAAAGGCTTAGTTTAGAAATGTTTTTGAAGAATTTTCTGATCACTTGTTTTAATAGTAACACCGTAAAAAATCATTGTTAGTTTTACAGAGAACCCTGCTTGTATATAACTGTTAATATTTGTTGTCAACAATCTGGACTTGTACAATAGTAGTAATCACCTTGACATCAAATTGACGACGTAATAAAAGAGCGGTAGAATTCTTGTTAGGTCTGACAAGTCTCTATACTCCAGTGGCTAAAAGATTTGTTTCGCTCTCAGTTCTGTTTTGTAGCTGCAGATTTTCATTCTGGATGTGTATAAAACTTTCTTGAATAAAAACTTTATTCACATCTTGTTCCTTGTGTAATGAATCTAGAACTTTAATAAAAAATAAACGTTGATTGTATTCCTTGGATCTTTAAAATATTAGTGTTTAATTTTCGTAGCTTAGAGCGATAAAATATTCCAAGAAGATATTGACTCTAATTTTTATTTGCCCCCCTGTTTACTACTCATTTAACATGAATGAATTTATAGATAAAACCTATTACCAGTTTTGGGTATTTTTGTTTAAAGTTTAAACAAAAGATGTTTTATAATATGGAAACATCAAAAGTCATTAAATGTAAAAATTATTTCTGAAGAGTGACCTGTATTTCTAAGGCAGTGTTTTCGAAACTTGAGATAACGACGCCCCCCTAACGCAGCAAAGTTTCCACTGCGCTACCGTCCCATTAAAGTAACTTTAGTGAATAGGAGAGATACCCAAACGAAACTGGCATCACTTCGAGCAATGGAATGAGCAAAACTGGAAGACGATGTTCTTTGTAATCCAAGTTGTTTAGCAGCAATTAACGACAGTTTTTCGATAGTACAGAGAAAAACGGTATCACGGTCAACTTGAAACACTTACAGTGAAGTATGTTGAGGAAGGAGGGGTAGAAGTGTGGGCCGCATCTTAGCCAACAGTATTGGAGATCTACACAAAACTTATGGCATCTGGACTACTTCCAAGTAGAAGCAGATTTTTATTCGTCACGTCATTACCTGAAGAACAAAGGTTGTTGGGCGGGAATTCATCTTCTAACGGGACAGTGATCTCAAGCAGTGCAGTTACGTGATGAATGGATACCTGGAGGTAAAGATAGCAATGGAACACTTGCAATCATAGCTTGGTCTACCAGAAATTCCGATACGAATATTATGAAGACTGTATTTACTTATATGTAAACTGACAACCTAAATGGCAACCAAACAGATTGGTTGAATTATGGGAAGTAATACAAAACAACATAATTATAATCATACATTGATAAACGTATTGAAACTTTAAAAAGTAATACTGTTTTGTTTAAAGCAAATTCAAAATAGTAACACTTAGTACAAGTCATTAACTTTTCTTTTGCATGTTTTTTAATTGTACTAATGATGGACTAACCATTTAATTTCAATTATTCATCACTTATAATTTCTTTCCAGGCACATTGTGTTACTATGTTAAGAGTAAAAATGGGAAAGACATTTTATTTTTGGTTTTGTCACAATGAAAGATAAACATTGTAGTTATTAACCTTGATAATGGTAACATTGTTACCAAAAAAATAATCGTCTGAAATGTTTGATAAGGATTGTATCTTTCACTGTGCCAAAAAAAACTAAACAAAGTGTCGTTTTTGTTTTTTACTCTTAAAATTCATTACTTCTGACCCATGTGTGGGTGCAGTTGTATAACTATTTCTAATACTATGTGTAAGCAAATTTTCACGAGAATTGGCAAATACGGTTTTCCAATTGTGCAAAGAATCATCTCATAATTAAGGCTAGCATAACGTTAGTAGTAGCAACTTTATAGTATACAGGACAATGCGGTGATTCAAGAATAACGCTATAGCGTACAAAGAGAACAGTTTTTAGATTGATTACAGCTCTGTTGTACAAGAAACTCCCCAAGGTTAACTAAACAATGAAAACGGTTTTGATAAATTTCAAGGTTATATATGAATAACTAAAAACACTTCACTTGAACAATTTTATAAAATTGTAGAACTTTTACAAGGGATACGGGGAAGGAGAAAGGATTGTTTG